AGGGAGAGAGAGAGAGAGGGAAGGAGGGAGGGAGGGAAGGAGAAAGAAAGAAAGAAAGAAAGGAAGAAAGAAAGAAAGAAAGAAAGAAAGAAAGAAAGAAAGAAAGAAAGAAAGAAAGAAAAAGAAAGAAAGAAAGAAAGAAAGAATGAAAAGCAAGTGCAAGGCAGTGCTGGCGGCTCACACCAGTAATCCTAGTTACTTTCAAGATTAAGATCTAGAGGTTGGGGGTTTGAGGCCAGCTTGTGCAATAAACGCTGTTAAGATTCCATCTCTGCAATAACCAGCACAAAAGCAGGCTGTGGCTCAAGTGGTACAGCACTAGCTGAGCAAAGAAGCTGAGCAAATTCGAGGTTCTGAGTTCAAACCCTAACACTGTCAAAAAACCCCACAAAAAACAAGATATAGGGCTACAATGCCCTGAGTTTAAACTCAGTGCTGCCAAAAAATTAAAAAGAGGATAGGTGCAGGAATAAACAGATGTCAAAGAAACAAACCCAAAAAAGGGGCTGATGTACCTAGTCCGCGATAGCGGGAAAGCTGTTGATAGATCTGTTTCATCCTTTCAATATTCAAGCGGCTTGCTTCAGCATGGTTTACCATCGGTTTGGGATAATTAACTCCTATCAAACATTTGGCTACCTTCTGGATACCTTCTGGTGCATTCCAGGGATCATAGATGTATTTTGCAGGGAAGCCTCTTAAGACTGGCAAATAACGTCTTTTGGGAGAAGAAAGAAAAGTTTTTATTAATAAAATGCATTATGAACAGGCTATAACAACAAACTATTAGCTATGAGTAACCAAAGCTGGAAGAAATGACTTTTTAAAATAAATTGATGAGGTAGGTATTATGCTTCATGTACAATTAGGAATATAGGAGTTGAAAGAATCAAGATCAGAATATTTAGGTTGGGCCATTTTTCGATGTGGTCAGAAAGGCAAAACCTATGTAATCAGATCAAACCATCTCATATCTGCTATCCGTCTTGTGTGAAGAATACGTAAACTGCCGCTTCAACATGAAACCATCATCACCATGACCTACCTGATATAGTCTCCATTGGGATCTGTTCTCCTTCCAAAACCAACAGGGCAATAGCAATGAAAAAACTGTTGGAAAAAGGAACTACACGAGAGCCACATCCAACTGCCAGCATTTATGCTCCAATCTGCATCAAGCAGTAATTCTTCAAATACCTTCAAAGTAACAATAACCAATTAGTTTGTACACATAAGGTCTGAGGTCATTACAGAAAAATCAAGGAAAAACTGGGAGAGTGCAAGGGAAGGGGATGACAATGTC